TCAACAATGGTCAAATTCGTCTGACAAATATAGAACTATCACACGCACACAGGCGCGCATACGCACACGCACAGACACATACACACACAGCCAATTCCTTCACTCATGGATGTAATAGCTACCCACTCGCTTCAGAAAGACGGGTAACAATCAGGTCGGGGTAGTTTATTCACAACCTCCGGAAACCGATTGTACCAGGCGATTTTTTTATACTTAATCATAGCTCGTTGCTGTTAGTAAAAAATTTAAGCGAGTCCTCGAAGGAACAAAGGGAGAATGTGGTAGCGCATTATTTCTAACGACTGGCGGCTCTGTAATAAAGCATTAAATGAGTGTAAGGTCTCTAATCCTCCCTTCAATTAATGTGTTATCATCATCTACTGATAAAGCTGAATGCTTTACCTGTAATTTCTCTTCAAACTCTACTCTTGACTCACCCAGTTTATCCCTGCTAGCTTTCCTCCTAGAACTGAGTCTCTGTTGAGTGATATGCATATAACACCTTCCATGGTTTCTGCTGTTATCACTAACCTAGATCCCGACAAAGCATGTGAACCCAATGGTATCCCTGTAATAGTCATTAAGAAATGTGCTCCAGAATTGGCTCCTGTTATCTCTAAACTTTATAATAAACGTCTCGATGTTTCCTGCTTTCCTGCCTGATGGAAATCATCATCTGTTGTTCCAGGTTTTAAGAACTCTGGTGATCCGTCCGACCCTTCCATTTATCGGACTTCTTTTTGGGAAACTTCTAGAAGCTCTTATCAATTCTGAATTGGTTCATCATCTCTCATCTCAGATCCTTTTTATCAGACAAAAATGATGGTTTTTACTTCTTTAGGTCAATTTCTGATGTACTGACGATATTTACGGATTTTTTTAAAATGTTTATCATGTTCTAGATACAAAACGGTGAAGCCCTTGCTCTAACATTGGGCATCTCGAAAGCCTTATACAGGATCTAGCATTCAGATCTTCCCCACATGCTGAAAAGTTACGGTATCTCCGGACACTTTTTTTGAACTGATCCTGTCTTTGCTATCAAATCCTTAAATGAGAGTTATCCTAAACGGCCACTCGTCTAGATCCTTTCGTGCTAACGTAGGTGTCCCCCACCCACCAGGGCTCCATCCTTGGTGCTACTCTAAATTTAATTTCCATTAATGACCTTTATGATGACATTGGTACGCTAGTGATACAACAATTTACCCCTGCCTCGAGAGTAAGGCTTATCAGTCTGACAAAGTCAAAATGGCAGTCGATGTCCTAAACGACCCCAAGTCGCTAGTTAACTGGAGCAAAAGATGGCTTGTTAATTTTGACGCCTCCAAAACTAAACTGCTCTCTGAGAGACCCCGCCTCTGCCTTCCATCAGTATGGCTGATGCTATCCTCCCGGAAAGTGACCTATTGCGTCTTCTCGAACTTATGTTCTTTGGCTGATTTGAAGTGAAAAGACTATATTGAATCCATTGCTAAGTCGTAAGAAAGTCGATTCACTATGTATGGCGAGACAATTTTTCCCTCCAGAATCTATCTTACATATCTATAAGTCTACCATTCATTCATGCTTAGAATATTGCTGCCACATATTGTCCGGCGACTCTGCTATTTACCTAGAGCTCCTTGAGAAAATTCAAAGAAGAATCTGCAGTAATATTGGTCCTGATCTGGCATCTCAGCTCCAGTCACTTACCAAACAACATAAGGTTGCCTCTCTGTGTCTTTTCTATAAATACTTTCATGGTAATTGTTCGGGTGATCTATGGTTCATAGAGTTGGTTTATTTTTTTATTTTTTTATTTTTTTAATTTAAGCGCAGCACTGGACTGGCGTCGAGATCTCATCAATTTACAGTTCAGCCAGCTAGATGTAGCCGTAAATTCTATGCTAAGAGTTTCTTCTCTCGCACTTCTCGCTTGTGGAACACCATTCTGTCTCCATACTTTCCAGTCAACTTTAATCTGTAAAAAAAAAATGCAAGGTCAATCGCTATCTACTGTCCACATATTTTTTTAAGCATTACGCCCCAAGCAAGCCACTAGGATGCAGGGGGTTGCGGAAGATTTGGAGCGAAAGCAGATAGGAGTGATAGGAGAAAGGATGGAGAGAAAGATAGTGGGTAGATCAAGGTAACTGGAGATGTCGATTGACATTACATTTGAATAGTTGGAGATTATAGCCTTCAGGGAAGCAGTAATTGGGGAGGGTGTTCCACTGGCGAGAGGTGCGAGGTATGAAGCTATTGGAGTAGAAGAGACGGCTACATTTGAGAGTTTCTACGGTGTAAGGGTGGGAGCGGGATGCCAGCCTCGTAGGGCGCTTGAATTCATGGAGTCTGGGAACCAGTGAAAGCAGCTCGTCAGAGCAGTTACCATGGAAGTATTTGTAGAAAAGACAGAGAGAGGCGACGGCGCGTCTGTGAGAGAGTGACTGCAGACGAGACGCTAGATCAGGGCCAATTAGATTACATATCCGTCTCTGGATCTTGTCAAGAACTCCGAGGTAAGCAGAAGGTGCCCCATCCCATATATGGCAGCAATACTCCATGCAAGGGCGAATGGTTGTTTTGTATATTTGAAGTATCGATTCAGGGGAGAATTTCCTGGCGTGGCACAGAGAGCAAACTTTCCTCGCGGTGGAAGAAGCAATTGACTCAATGTATTTGTTCCATCTCAGGTAAGGAATTGCTCTCAGGAAGTTGACTATCAGACATTTAATGTGGGGCAGGGAAGGATTAATGGTTAATGGAGAGTAATTTAGTCTTAGTGGCGTTAAAGTTGACCAGCCAATTCTTGCCCCAGTTAACAACCGATTGGAGGTCCATTTCGAGACGCACGGCCAGATAAGTTTTGTCGCCGATACTAGATTTGTTTGGGAGGCAGGAGTAAATTGTAGTGTCGTCTGCATAGATGCCAACTTGGGAATCTATAGCGTCGGGAAGGTCATTGATGAAAATAAGGAAAAGCGTGGGGCCAAGGATGGAGCCTTGGGGAACACCTGCGTTCGTGGGATAGGAACTGGAGGAGAATCCGTTGAGAACGACCTTCAATTCTCGGTTTGACAGGAATGATTGTATTAGATCAAACAGTTGACCAGTAACACCGTACCCCTGGAGCTTACGAAGAAGGCCGACGTGCCAAACCCTATCGAATACTTTGGAGATGTCGAGGGCCACGGCACGAGCCTCTCCGTTATTTTGAAGGGCTTGGTAGACGGTTTCAGTGATGGTCGTAAGCACATCAGCTGTGGATCGGGCGTAGCGGAAACCATATTGCTTGTCTGAGAGCAGATTACGAGATGTAAGGTGATTAACCACTTCGGCATTGATTAGGGCTTCGAAGACTTTGCCGAAGAGGGGTAGGAGACTAATAGGACGGTAATTAGAGGGGTCAGAGGGGTCTCCAAAGTTCTTAAGCACAGGAACAATGGATGAGGACTTCCAGCAGTCATGAAAACAGTATTCCTTGAGGCAGTAATTATACAGTTTAGAGAGGGCGGGTGCTAGCTCAGGCGCGCATTTCTTCAGTCCAATGGCTGGTATGCCATCTCCACCACTAGCCTTGTGGGGGTCTAAGTTGGAGATAATGCCCAGTACCACAGACGGGGTTATGTGTAAGCCGCTCAGTAAGGCCTCGGTTCTAGGAGGGAAGTCTGGTATGGGTACACCGGTGGAGTCGAGCGTTGAACTAAATGAGAATTTCCGAGCAAAGCATTCAGCCTTGTCGGTAGAGGAGGTCAAGACCTCGAACTGGTTGAATAAAGGAGGTATGGAGAGTTTTCTATTGTTCAGGACACTCTTGCAGACCCGACAATAATCTTTGGAGCCAAATTTGCGAGATGCAATACGTTCCTTCATCCGAGCAGCAAATATTGACTTAGCTTCGTTGAGGACACGCTTACACTCGTAACGGGCGGAGGCAAAGAGACGTCTATTACAGTCCGACATGTCGCTACGAAATCGGTAAAAGAAGTGATTCCTATGGGCAATGGCAGCTGAACAAGCAGCGGAGAACCAAGGGGAGGAGTGCGACTTGACCTTAAATTTCCTTGAGGGGATGAAAGCGTCGATTCCAGCTTTAACCCAGGATGAGACCTCAGAAGCACATTCTTGGACAGGGAGTGTAAAGACAACATCCCAGGGAACATCGCGGAGGAAGTCACGGAACGAGTCCCAATCCGCTCGTTGATAGTAGAACGAGGTTATTGTGATGGGAGGTTCTTTGCAGGGTGTGGAGTTGAAGGAAATGTTGACAGATACCACAGCGTGATCGGAGTTGCCAAGCGGGCAGAGCTGTGTGGCGCTACAAGATTCGGGGATGGAGGTAAAACACAGATCGAGAAGAGAGGCCTTACCTGCCAGGTAGAGGGCAAAACGCGCGGGGAAGTCGACTATCTGCGTGAGAGATTGAGAAATTGAGAAGTTAAATGTTTGAATGCCAGCCCGGTCAGTAGTAGCATTCTCGAGCCACTTGGTGTGATGGGCGTTAAAGTCACCAAACACGAATACATGAGCAAACGGGTGGAGAGAGAGGGCCTTGTCTATGTTGTCAGATATGCTACATGATTATTATCTTCTCTTTCTGCTCACTATTATTGTTTCTTTTCCTAATTCTTCCACACCCAGTAATCCCCTTTGTTTTAGTGGCATTACTGCCTTGTTTGTGGTGATTCCAGTTTAAAAAAAAACTATGTGGAGTCGATGCATTAGATAGCCTTGGTCCAATGATAACAAATAGTCAAGATAACTGAAAACTACCTGTGTCGCATATAATTCGAGTAGTCTGGTGTTACAGCGCTGAGGTGGGGTAGTTAATTCTCAATTCCTATCATGGCCATAAACGAGAATGGGAAATGGTAACCACAGCTGGTGCGATTTATATTTACATAAAGTTTTGCTTTGGGGATGTATAAATTTGTATCTCTATTTTGCACTAATAACCAATGAATTAGCACTAAAGTCTCGACTAGTCGCAGACATGGGCACGTGCGAACACATACTGTAGATAGATAGATAGATAGATAGATAGATAGATAGATAGATAGATAGATGAACAAACTCAGACAGATAGATAGATAAACAAACTCAAATAGATAGATAGATAGATAGATAGATAGATAGATAGATAGATAGATGAACAAACTCAGACAGATAGATTAACAAACTCAAATAGATAGATAGATAGATAGATAGATAGATAGATAGATAGATAGATAGATAGATAAACAAACTCAGACAGATAGATTAACAAACTCAGATAGATAGATAGATAGATAGATAGATAGATACGATGTCGACATAGAAATCAATACTGTATGGTGACTGCTAATTATGGTGTGTTAACGGAGTTAAAGTATGCCGAGTGAAGTCGCTTAGCACAGATTAATCTTGGACTACTATAGCAATACTTGGGAGGAACGTGTATAGATTGTTGTCATTTCACTATCACACAGGGGTTCCATTGATGTCCATGTCCTGTGCTGCAAATTGAGGCCAACCAAAACATTTATCAGGTTAGACAGCCACCGTATACTATGCGACATTTTCCTGTTCAAAAATCAAATCCCACGTGAAAGGAACAACATTTCAAGAGATTGCGAAAAGGCAGCTGTACGCTATCCCAGAAAAAAAAAAGTCTTTCAGGAATGCTTCCATCAATGTTGGATAAAATGCGTGGCTTCAGAAGGGGACGACTTCGAAAGAAAATGCTAAATTGATATGTATTGTAGTTTTCTTTTTTATAACACCAGTCCCGATACTTTTTGAGCAATTCTCGTAAATATAATATATATATATATATGTAGGCACGGTGGACTAGTGGATAGCCGCTCGGATTGAAGTTCTTGTTCGCATTCCAGTCGAATCCATTGCATTCACTTACGTGTTAATACCCCTGGAAAAGATATGAATACTCTTCTTCTCTCCCCACTCCTAGCTATGAATAAATAGCCTTGGATGGCCACTGGTCTATGAGAAGGACAACTCTGAATTCAAAACCTGCAGAGGGTCGTTTGGGAACCTTGTGACAATGGGTGCACCAGGTCTCTGTATTCGGGTCTTCAAAAAGTGTCTTGGCACTGCACATGTATGGAAATGTGTGGCTTTCGGTTCCTAGTAACTGTTGCTTCACCCGCATATGTCGTAAAACGACGGGAGAATCTAGTATATATATATATATATATATATATATATATATATATATATATATATATATATATATATATATATATATATATATATATATATATATATATATATGAATGTGTGTTTGTGTTAAATTGAAAATTATTAGATATTGATTTATATAAAATATTTTGAACAAATGATCAGGCACATTATATGTCGCCAGACAGACGAAAATGTATTAATTGATTTGTTTCTTAGCAGCAAATGTAATCCATAAAGAGAGAGATGGAACGAACTAAAAGGGATTAATTCACTGATGGATGTAAATTTAAAAGAAAATTAATCGAATTTTGCTTCGGCTCTCTTATATTCTTGACATCGAATAAATCAATAAATGCACAAATACATCTGATAAATCCGGTGCGTGTATATGCAAGAATAAAGTCACCTCACTATCTTTAATTCATTCTTACTCTTTCTCTCGCTCTGGGGTCATATACTTTTGTGATGTTAGACGCTTACACGTTGTAACTTTCGTTAGATCAACGAATGCTCGTTATCACTTTTGAAATTCTCGTTGTAGATGAGACTTTGTAAACGCAGATACAGGTAGTAGTAACGCCTTGAAATGACACTCGCACTAATAAGACTTGTTCAAATAATAATCGCTGAATAGTAATTCGTATAATGATCAGTATAGAGAAATAGTATAGTGGCTAGTAGAGAGACTAGTGATCACTTAGACGTCACGCTAATTCCCATTTGTACGTTTCCTTTACAATCACGCGATCTACTTATTTAATAATAATAACGTGATATGCTTATTTAATAATGCAATCGTCCATGTTTGCTCACCGGTGATCTGTTTTCAAACTACAGTGTCCTATGCAACATATATATATATATATATATATATATATATATATATATATATATATATAAGTGCAGAAGAACGAACAGTAAAATTACAGCGTTCAGAAAATTAATTTTAAAATAGTGCTCAATACACAGTAGAATCGTAAATATTTATTTATCTTATGCAGTTACATTAGAACATGTAAATATCCACGACAAAATTGTACATTTTTTTGTTTCAACGTCAAAAACGGAAAACCTTTTTTAGACGTCTCATCAGGTGGGGAGTCACGGTTTTACTAAAAACTTTTATCCAGAAAATACACTTATCGAAGCAAATATTACCCACTTCCGTTCTTTGGAAATTTACATAAAATGTATTCTAGAATTTACATGTAGAGATGAAAGGGAATCTAATGCATTGAGTAGTCGCGGGCGAACGAAATGGAAAGGAAAAAGAAAAAAAAAGGGGGAAGGGAAAAGTAAAGGAAGTAGAAACGAAAAATAAAGAGGCCATTTTATGGCCCTCTTTTATGGCCTCTTTATTTTTCTTTTCTTTGTCCTTTTCTTTTCCCTTTCCCCATTGTTCTTTTCCCCTTCCTTTTCTTTCGCCCGTGACTACTATAGACTTATTGATCCATCCTCGCAAATGTTTAATGTATATATACAAATATTAAAGATTTCCCTGATATGTTTTATGTCAAACATTATAAGTCACCTAATGTTTTATAGATATAAAAAAAAAAACTTAATGGAATATTTATTTCCTAAATGATGGAAACTTTTATATGAACAGTTAGGAAGAAAACCGATTTATTGAGCTTTTTTATTTACAGTGAGCTTTTCCCTGTACAAGGCCTGGGGGTCACTCGAGGTAGAGGTTTACAGCGTAAGACACAGTTCATGCAGATAGGGATGAGAAGATTACGGTTAACCCTAGATTTCAACAGGTTAAATAACAGTGGTTCGTAGGAAGAATCTGTTCAAGTGGAATTTACTTCTGACCAATGGAAGACAGAATGAATGCGGGCAGTTTGTCACAATATGAGTGTCATGGCGGGTCCTAGCAGTCAAAGTTAGAACTGGTAGGGCCAAGAAATTCAGTTGTTCCAAGCGCTTTCCAAGGAAGTAGCAAAAGAGCAATGAAAGAGCGGTTGGAGGGTGGAAAATACTCTGTCACCCACAGGGACTCGGAGACACTTTTGGACCCCATCGAGACGGGAAAGTGAGATCTGGGCAGATCGAGTCCAAATGTGACAACACTACTCCATTTTAGGTTTGATGTGGCTCTTGTAGAGGTAGATAGTAGTATGGGGAATATGGTACTTAACGGAGCGGCACAGGGTACCGACTTTTTTTCTTGCATCTTTAGCAATAGATGTACGAGTTCTACTTAATTTCTGGGGTTAGTTTAAGACCCAATAGTCTCTCAAATCATGGTGCTTCCCCGTGAGGAGATCCATTCATTAGGGTAGTTCGAGGTCCGATCGGCGTTGATAGAATGTAACTAGTTTGGTTTTCGAGGCAATGAATGTAACCAAACAGTTTTCCTCAACATATGTTAGAACTAGACCGAATAAGATATCAGCTGTCAATCTCTGGTCATCACGCATTTTGGAGGTGCACCTATATATCGTCGCATCATCAGGATAGATATTCACAAATGATCGGAATATACTCTTACGTAGATCATTTATGAGAAGTAAATGGATGGTTGATCTGAGAAGTAGCCCCTTGTAGACGCCAGCGTTGACTGCTATCGCCCCGGAAGACTGGCAGTTAACAATCACCGTCATCGACCTACCTGTTAAGAAGGACTTTATAACTGAGAAGATTCTTCCAGTAATTTCATAGATAGAGAGCTTGAGCAGCAAACCTTTGTGCCACGCTTTGTTAGTATATAATGCTACGGTCCTCGAGGTGAATTTTTGGCAAGAGCCTCCCTGATTCTGTGAGAAATGGTAGTTAGGACATCAGCAGTGGATCGGACCAATCGAAACCTGTACTGCGTGTCGCTTTAGAGGCTGTTCTTAACTAAGTTTTTGTTGATTATAGTCTCAACGAACTTGGAATTAGACAAATGGTAGTTATTTGTTTAAAATGCCGTGCATTTCGAAGTTTCAAGATAATGAAGACGTTATGACTTTAATTTTTTTTAAATGGTTCGCAAGTTCAATTTCATTTATATAGAGAAAATAGTATTCTCGTATCTTGTCTTTCAAGTGTCATGTACCTTCAGGACTTTGGCGATCATGACTCTCCACATCATTTTATCCTTAGTAGCTCTTAGTAAATTTTTGCTGTCTATCTTAAACTCAGTTCAGGCATCCATTAAATAAGTTTTGCACTGTTTTCTTCTACTCCGCTTGCCTTAAGTATGTCCTGTGAGTGACAAATTTTCCAGGACTTCGTTCCTCATTATATGTTCTAAAATTGTCAACTGGCTCTTTCTGTTAAGTATAAGTGTCCATTTTGTTTCCATTGTCTCTAAAACTACATCGTTGCTCACATATTCAGTCCATGGTATTCTAAGTATCCCTCTATAGAAACACATTTCTGTTGCTTCAAGTCTCTTCTTCATCTGTGAAGAGTTTGGCCAGCATCAACTACCATATAAGAGGACCGATATTAAATAACACTTCTGGACTCTTTTTTTTTATCTCTAGCGAATTTTCTTAATAGCTTTTGAAAGGCACCTTTCGCAATTCCAATGCGTCTTTCACGGTGCCATTTGCGTCCCTTACTAAAACATTTCCTAGATATTTCAGTTATTGTACTTGTTTGATTTTGGTATCTCCCATTTGTAATGTACATATTAAGCTGTTCCTTTTGCTACCAAAAGATTCTGTCTTCTTATAATTGATGTTTCGTCCTTTCTTCTCACTTTCCTCTACTACTTTCTACAGTTTCTTTTCTATGTTTGCTATCAACAATATGTCAAGCCTTTATGCTGTTAAGATTGGGCCTGCCAATAATGAATCCTGGTAGGACTTCTAATTCTCTCAGAATCACCGCCTTGTATGCGTTAAATAATTCCGGTGAGAAGATACATGCTTATTTTACACCCCTTTCTTTTTGAATATTTACTGAATTCATTTTTTATCTGTAGGCGGGCAGTTTGCTTCCAGTGTAGGTTCCAGTTTATTCTAATAAAAAAAGAAGACGACCGTAGTCGTGATCATCAAGTCAATACGAACGATCATATCCTTATCTGCATAGTGTGTACTTTGTCATGGCTACATACAGTCTTGAATTCAGAGTTTTCCCTCTCCTAGATCGGGTGCCAGCCAAGACTATAGAACCCAGACTGTCCAACTAT